AGAAGAGAAGGCACTGAAAATGAAACAAGTGGGGCGCCTGGGTGGCGCAGTCGGTTAAGCGTCCAACTTCAGCCAGGTCACGATCTCGCGGTCCGGGAGTTCGAGCCCCACGTCAGGCTCTGGGCTGATGGCTCGGAGCCTGGAGCCTGTTTCCGACTCTGTGTCTCCCTCTCTCTCTGCCCCTCCCCCATTCATGCTCTGTCTCTCTCTGTCCCAAAATAAATAAACGTTGAAAATGAAACAAGAGACTTAACGGAAACAAGGTCATAAAGGGCAATGAAGGTCACTCTGAGGACTTATCCTTTTACTGTGGATACAACTGAAAGCCAAAACAATGTTCCAATCAGAGTGTCACAATCATACGTGACAGGCTCAATCTATCTCTTTCGGTGAACAGAAAGACTGTGGGGAGAGAGGGGTACAACAGCAGAAGCAGGAAGACAGAAAGCTCCAGAAGAGACATTAACAGTATAAAAGGGGGGCAAAAGTGGTGATGATAAGTCATCAGATTCTGAATCCATTTTGAAGGCAGAGCTCATAGGATTGCTGACAGACGAAATGTGGGGTATGAACGAAAGTCAAAGATAACTTACAAGTTTAGACTGAACAACTAGAAGAGTTGAGTTCCCATTTACTGACAAGGGGAAGTCTGTTGACAGAATGGATTTAAAGAGAATAACAGAAGCTCCAGTTTGGACATTCATTAGACATCTAAGTGTAGACATTTAAATGAATGTACCAGGGTACACAAGCCTGGGATTTGGGGAGCCAAGTCATCAACACACAGTTGGCATTTAGAGCCAGAGACAAGATGAGATGACCAAGGAAAAAATACGGATAGGAAAGAGAAGTTCAAGGCCTCGCTCTGGGGCACATCAAAGTACAGAGATCAAGGAGATGAGAAGGTACAAGCAGAGAAACTGAGAAAGAGCAGCCAGTGAGGAAAGAACACGCGGAACGCATGAGGGTTTGAGGGCCAGGAAGAGAGAACGTGTAGGAAGGAGACAGCAGCCTACCGCTTCAAACACACACTGCAGGCAGACCAAGAGTCAGACTGGGAACTGACGGCTGCATCACAGCATAAAGGGAATTAGGGAACTTAATACAGGCCAGAAGGAGGTGGGGATAAGGGGGAAAGCGAAAAATCTGATTGGAATGGATGCAAGAAGGAAATGCAGGAAAGAAATGGAGAAGAAAGAGTAGAGACACCTCTTTCAAGAAGCGTTGCTCTAAGAGCAAAAGAGAATCAGGGCAGTTCTGGAGGTTCTGAGGAGGAAATGGCGCAAAAGAAGATTGGTGGTCTTCAAAAGTATGGCCAACTAATCTTTGACAAAGCAGGAAAGAATATCCAGTGGAAAAAAGTCAGTCTCTTTAACAAATGGTGCTGAGAGAACAGGACAGCAACATGCAGAAGGATGAAACTAGACCACTTTCTTACTCCCAGTCACAAAGATAAACTCAAAATGGATGAAGGACCTGAATGTGAGACAGGAAACCATCAAAACCCTAGAGGAGAAAGCAGGAAAAAACCTCTCTGACCTCAGCCACAGCAATTTCTTACTTGACACATCTCCAAAGGCAAGGGAATTAACAGCAAAAATGAACTATTGAACCCTCATCAAGATAAAAAGCTTCTGCACTGCAAAGGAAACAATCAACAAAACTAAAAGGTAACCGATGGAATGGGAAAAGATATTTGCAAATGACATATCAGATAAAAGGCTAGTATCCAAAATCTATAAAGAGCTCACCAAACTCCACACCCAAAAAACAAACAACCCAGTGAAGAAATGGGCAGAAAACATGAATAGACACTTCTCTAAAGAAGACATCCAGATGGCCAACACGCACATGAAAAGATGCTCAACGTCGCTCCTCATCAGGGAAACACAAATCAAAACCACACTCAGACACCACCTCACATCAGTCAGAGTGGCCATAATGAACAAATCAGGAGACTATAGATGCTGGCGAGGATGTGGAGAAACAGGAATCCTCTTGCACTGTTGGTGGGAATGCAAACTGGTGCGGCCGCTCTGGAAAACAGTGTGGAGGTTCCTCAAAAAATTAAAAATAGACCTACCCTATAACCCAGCAATAGCACTGCTAGGAATTTACCCAAGGGATACAGGAGTGCTGATGCATAGGAGCACTT